ATGCTGCGAGATGGAACACAGCGGTCAGCCTTAGTGATCTCCAGGACCTCGCTACTCACAGCAGCACTGGATCACCTGGGAGCTTGTTGGAACTGCTGCATCTGAGGCCCCGCCCCAGACCTGCTGAATCTGCATTCTAACAAGCGTCCGGGTGATTTGTGGGCACACTGGAATTCGAGAAGCCCTGCTGGAAGGTTCTTTGTCCTCAGGTATTCTGGGAACTGTGAACTTCATGTATAGGGTCGCTTTCAGTTAGGACAACCTGACTCCTGTGTGACCTTTCCTAACTATTCCACTGAAGCAGGGCTGAGAGGAGAAGTCCGTCCCTCCCTCCCTCCCTCCCTCCCTCCGTCCCTTCCGTCCTTCTCAGAAGCGTCTTCTTGCAGACGAGGTCGAGTGCTTCTCAGACCACATGACGCTGTGGATCCCAAGGAGCCACGTGGAGGGGCTGCGGCAGTGGTTGGGCAGAACCCTGCACGTGCCAGGTAAGGGACAGTCGGCTGGGCAGGGCCTTTGTTGGGGGTGAGACCCCTTAGGTCCCTCACCCCGGGCCCCTTGCATGTCCTTTTCCCTGCCTGGAAGGCTCCTCTCCCATTTCTCACGTTGATTCCTTCCTGTCACTCAAAGCTCTGCTCAAAGGCCACCTCCCGCCCAGGCCTGGCGACTCTCTTCAGTGGTCCCTGCCCACCCCGGTCAGTCTCGTCCTGTCTGTGTCTCATCACTCGTCATGAAAGCCGATCTTCCCATTGTTCCCAGGCTTGTCATCTGCACCTGCCCCCAGCAGAAGGGGCACTGGCCTTGCGTTTCAGAACTGGGAACACTGCCTGGTGCTTAGCAGACTCACAGTAAACGTTTGTTGAATGAGCAAACAGCCTGAAACCCTAAAAGAAGCGCCCATGTGTCGCCGATATGCCCCCAAATCTAAATCGCCCTGGGAAAGGAACGGAAGTGAGGCCGAAGGGGTGGTTCTTACACACCTGGAATGGGAAGCCGTCTCGTGCCCGCAGGGGGGAGTAGTGACAGTAGCAAAAAACAAGGGCACGGTGTCACTTACAGAAACCTTTCCGCCATGAGCTTGCAGCAGAAAAGGTGGGAGAGGAGTAGCTGCCACCAGGTGATCACCTGGAACCTTCTGGAAGGAATAAGATTAGAGAGATGTGCAAATAGCCCACTTCCATCCGTGTTCTCTACCTCGGGGGCCTCAAAGTGAGCCCTCAGAATTCCTCGTCTCTTTTGCACAGAAAGAGGAAAATTGAGGACAGAGGCTTTCCAATCTTTCCGGAGTCTAGGAAAAGCTCCCAGGATTCCTGTTCATTCTGGAAATTCTTTTTTTTTTTTTTTTTTTTTGAGACAGAGTCTCACTGTGTTGCCCAGGCGAGAGTGAATGCCGTGGCATCAGCCTAGCTCACAGCAACCTCAAACTCCTGGCTCAAGCGATCCTGCTGTCCCTCACCCTCCGAGTTAGCTGGGACTACAGGCATGTGCCACCATGCCCGGCTAATTTTTTCTATATATCTTTAGTTGGCCAATTAATTTCTTCCTATTTTTAGTAGAGACGGGGTCTCGCTCTTGCTCAGGCTGGTCTTGAACTCCTGACCTCAAGTGAGCCTTCCACAACCTCCACCTCGGCCTCCCAGAGTGCTAGGATTACAGGCGTGAGCCACCGCCCCCAGCCTGGAAATTCTTAATGCCCCTTCCGGGACTGGCGTGGCCTGAATCGGCCGTGGGAGGGTCCGCTGCCCGAGGGCCGGCAAGCCCGGGATGCCTCGGGAGTGGCCTTTGTGTATTAAAAGGCCACTTTTCCAGGAGAAATGCCCTGGATACATTAAGCTGTCGCCTGTTCTTTGGAGAGCCATTATTAATGGAAAACAATAGATTAATAGTTTTAAAACGCTTGTTCAATAAGTAATTTTTATGGCTCTGGATAGAGCCCATTAAACATTTCTGTGTGTTATTATAAAGAAGTTTTAAGCGTAAAATCATAAAGTCAATAATCAGAGAATTAGTCGCAGCGGCCAGCCACAGGCCATTAGTTTTAGGCGCTGTCAGAGGCACACCTGTGGCTTTTGAGGGAGAGTTTTCATTTCACGCCGGCAGGCAGCGCCAGGTGGGGACGGAGAAATGACAGTGGCTGCCGCCTCCCACAAACTCGAGGGGACAGCGAGCAGGTGTGAGCAGCGGGGTGCCAGGCAAATATTTACAAAGTGCAAACGTGAATGCAAAACTAAAATGATCCGGGTCAATTTGCACATCCCTGGCGCAGGCACTTTCTTTCCCCAGCGATCTGCCTTTCAGAGCCTCAGACGGGCGGGCGGAGGGGCGGCCTTGGTCTCCTGCTAAAGACAGCGGTGGAAGCCACCGCGCGGGCTTTTGAAAGGAAAGCGTGTGTCGCCAGAGAATCCCCCGCAGTAAAGGCTGCGGTTCTCTGAAATAGCGTACTCATCTCCCATCCAGTGCACAATTGAGCCGGGTGTTTGCAAATGAAACCGTGAGCTTTTAAAAATGACTTTTTACAAAACCATGACAAAGGCAATACAAGATAATTATGGAAACTAGAGGAAATCAAAGGCGATAATGAAAACGGCCCGTGACCCCTCTGCCCGGAGATATTCCTCTTTATGTTTCACTCATGCAACAAATATTTGCCGAGAGCCCCCAAGACGCCAGGCACAGCGCGAGGCACGAGGGGTGCAGGGTGCACGGAACAGACGGACACCCCTGGCCCCGTGCAGCTGACATTTCAGCGGAGGGCGACAATAAATATAATAAGTCAATGAGAAGCAGGTCAGAAAGCAATGAGTGCTGCAGAAAGAGAGGCAGAAGAGTAGGACAAGGGTGGCCTTAAGGGGGCAGTCAGGGTGGGCCTCATTGCGAAGGTGACTCAGAGGAGGTGGGGGAGTGAGCCCCACATGTGCCAAGGAGAAGAGGAATCCAGGCAGAGGGCACGGCCGGTGCAAAGGCCCTGAGGCAGGAGTGTCCCTGGGATGCCTGAGAAATAGCAGGTGGTGCTGGTGCAGCTGGAGCAGAGGAAGGAACGTGAAGAGAAGTGGGAGAGGACGTCAGACAGGGGAGGGACAAATCACATCAGGCCTTTGAAGACTTTGGCTTTTCTGCCGACAGCTTTGAACAGAGGAGGGACGTGACCTAAGTTTTGAACAGGATCCTACTGGCTGCAATTGTGGAACACAGGTAACAGGGGCGAGGGAGGAAACCAGGAGACCAGAGAGGAGGCAGCTGCAGAAACCCAGGCCAGTGGCCTGGCGCGGTGGCTCACGCCTATAGTCCCAGCGCTTTGGGAGGTGGGAAGATCATTTGAGGTCAGTAGTTTAAGACCAGCCTGAGCAACATAACAAGACTCCTCCTCTACAAAAAATAGAAAAATTAGCCAGGTGTGGTGGCGCACACCTGTAGTCCCAGCTACTCGGGAGGCTGAGGCAGGAGGATCGCTTGAGCCCAGGAGGTTGAGGCTGTAGTGAGCTATGATGATCCCACTGTACTCTACCAAGGGTGACAGAATGAGACCCTGTCACCAAAAAAACAAAACAAAACAAAACAAAACAAAGAAAGAAGGCCAGGCATGGTGGCTCATGCCTAGCACTCTGGGAGGCCAAGGCGAGAGGATCACTCAAGGTCAGGAGTTCGTAACCAGCCTGAGCAAGAGTGAGACCCCCGTCCCTACTAAAAATAAATAGAAATTAATTGGCCAACTAAAAATACATAGAAAAAAGAATTAGCTGGGCATAGTGGCATGTGCCTGTAGTCCTACTACCAGGAGGCTTGAAGGAGGACAATTGAGCCAGGAGTTGAGGTGATGTGCTTAGGTGACGCCAGCCTCTCGCAGGCAACGATGGAGACTTGTTCAAAGAAAAGAAGGAGAGCTCAGCCTGGGCCGGCCCGCCCCCAGAGTGGGGAGATGGGGTTGGATTCTGGAGATGTGTTGAAGGTATAACCTATGGGCTTTCCTGTTGGTGTATATTTTGGGGCCTTTCATATACTGCTTTAAACACCGCCCTCCAGTGTAAAGGAGCTCCAGGCAGGAGCCAGTTTCTATTTGGTGTCTGCTATTTCTGACCCCTCCAGAGAGGACACTCGCGGGTCAGCCCAGCTTCCGCTCCTTTCTCCTCACAGGTGTCTGGAGGTCCCCTGACTCCTGGCTTCTCTTGAAATGTGGGCTTACTTCCTGCATCCGACTCCTGATGGTGACTTCATTTTTCGAGCTCAATACTCGGCCTGCTTTGTGCAGAAGGAGGTGAGTCTGGACAACGTTGTGTGTGTGTGTGTGTGTGTGTGGTTTATGAAAGAGAGGAGAGAGAAAGACGGGGGCACGGTTTCTGCTGCCAGTTTGGAGTACAGTGTCATGATCACAGCTCACTGCAATCTCCAGTGATCCTCTTGGCTCAGCTCCAGTAGCTGGGACTACATGGGTGCGCATATGCCGGCTAATTTTCGGGGGATCTTGCTGTGTTGCTCAGGCTGGTCTTGAACTCCTGGCTTCAAGCGATCCTCCTGCCTTGGCCTCCCTGAGTGCTGGGATGACAGGCGTGAGCCCCTGCGCCTAGCCGGAAACATGTTTTCTTAGGGAGACTTCTTGATGGGGTCTCTTGGGATACATGACTCTGGGGGACAGAAGGGGCTAAGCCTGAGCTCGGATGTCAGGTAAGGTGACAAGGCACCATTGTGCCTCTGCAGACGCCCAGCTGAGGGACATGAGTGGGCTCTGCCCTCCCAGCGTTCAGGGCAGAGCTATGAAAAGACTGCTGGCTGCCCAGACTCCGCTCAGACGCTGCCTCCTCCAGGCCGTCTTCCTGGCCTTCACCCCTCCTCTGTGCCACGGCCCTGCTGCTGTCATTGCACCTGCCGCCCTGATTACCGTGGGTCTGCTCACGCAGCCATCTCCCGTTAGACCTGCGGTGTCTGGGGGAGGGGCAGCCACACCCACAGTTTTGCCCCAGGGCCTGGCACACAGCAGGTGCTCAGTAAGTGCTTAATGAAGTGAATAAATGGTGCTGAGGAGTTGCAGGGGCTGATGGACCACCCTCATCACTCGCATAGGCCCTTATGTGCTTGCAAGATATATGACTCTAAAATTTGCAGGAGTCGGATATTTTTGTATTCTTTTTCTTAAAGAGGCCCCCCCACACACACAAATTGCATGAGCTTCAGGCCCTGAGTAACCCAGACCACGCAGGGGAGGCTGGGAGCAGGGCATCTGGGAGCTGGGTTGCCAGGGGGGTTGTGCCGGCCAGAGGGAGGGAGGGAGCCGCAGGAGCTGGCGCAGCCCCGATTCAACTCCCTGGGTGCTGGAGGTTGCAGGTCCCGCCCCCATTCCAGAGAGGGTGCAGACTGCCCCTGGAGGCTGCCCAGGTTTTCCTTTTCTCTCCTTTTTCTCCTCACTTTCACTTCCTCTTTCTTTAATTTCTTTGTCAGCCCTTCCTTGATGCAGCCCAAGTATTCCCCACGGGGGCTGTGGTCTGTTGTGGGGGAAGGAATTTCCAGAACTATCCTGCTTCTCCTCTTCCAAGTCCCGTCAGCACGCATCCTCCCTAGACCCCCATGAAGCCCAGACTTGGGCTCTTCCTGTGTGGCCAGTGAGGTCAGCCCAGGCGGCCCTTGAGGGACCCCTCGGTTTGACATCCTGGAAGCTCTGTTTTGCGCACGATGAACACCGGAACGAGCCAGACCAGATCTTGCATCTAGTCCTGGGAATGCCCTTTGGCTTAGTCGCTTACCTCCTCTAAGCCTCAACTGCCTCATCTGTAAAATGGGAACAAGAAAGCCAACCCTACGAGGTAGTGGTGAGGATTAAAACAGACAGGTGTGAACAGTGTCAACTGTCACAGCTCTTGTCCAACCAAGTTTGACCTACCCGAAATCCACAGGTGTCTCCCATCCCTGAGGGCTTCCCTGGTGGGGGCTGAGCTGCCAGAGCCCAGAAGCCAGGCCCAGGGTCTGAGTCCTCGCAGGCCAAGGTCTTGCTTCCTGTCCCTCCTCTGTGAGACCTGCCCAGCTTAACACGAGGCAGCTCGTGTTAATGACATTTGCAGTGAACAGTCACTGACCTATAATTGCAGCCCATTAACTGTATTTTCTTCTCTCATTCGTACACATGAATTTTGCCCTGCTTCCAGAAAGCAAATTACAGGTTGGAAATCAGGATATCTCAAAAAGGGGCGACAAGGTTGGAGCGGAGTAAGCTGTACGTAATGAAGTGTCCAGTGCTCACGTCCAGGCTGGGCCGAGAGACCGTCCGCTGCGGACCCACGTTCATTCAGGTAGCGGGTTCAGAGGGCCTGGGAGACGGCGGCCGAGGGGCATCCCCAGCCTGGGCTTCTCTCCAAAGGGCGAGGCAGGTGGCCCTGGCTCCCGAGCCTCAGGACGAGGCTGGAGGGAGAGGTGGCAGCTGGAGATGCCACCAGCGGTGGGTACTGGCTGGGTGCTCGGGCCCCGCTGGGCTTTTGTCTGAGCAGGGAGGGCTGAGATGGGCTGGGAGCGGTGGCTTGAAGGTCTCTGAACTAGTGGCACTTGGCTCAGCGGAGCCTCCTGGGTTGTCACCAAAGCTGCAACATTGGATCTGTGTGTTCTTTTCCTCCGGATTGAAAACAGTTGCTGGTTTGAAAGCTCCTGTTTAACCTGGGTAATGGCAAAGAATTGTAGAGCTCAGATATCATCCATCGGGTGTAACATCTCTGTTGTAAAGATCGGGGAACAGAGGCTCATCCCCAGATCCAACTGTGAGCTCCTCCGCTGCCTTGCGCGCTCCTTGAAGTTGAGTTTCTCCCTAGCCCCGGGGGAAGCCTAAACAAAATCTGGGTGTGGGGTGGGAGGGTGACAAACCCAAACATCTGCAGGGAATACCCCACAGCAGAAACGAGCGAGCCAGGCCGAGGTGGCAGTAGGGTTTCACCCATTCCTTCATTTATTCACCAAACACAGGCCCCTTGCTCTGTGCCAGGCACTGTCTTAACCCCTTTGCAAACATTAGCTCATTTCATCTTCACAGCGATTCTGTGCGGTAGGTGCTATGATAGCCCTGTTCTGCAGAGGAAGATCTAGGCAGGGAGGGTCAGGAGAATGGCCGGAGGTCCCGCAGCTGGTACGCGCCAGAGCTGGGCTTTGAACCCAAGCACATCGTCCAACCCCATCCCTGCAGAGGGGCAACCACCACTCGACCGACTCTGGCCCCATCTTGCCGGATTTCCCAACATTTCCAGAGAAACTGGAACTCTATAATTGTATATGAAATCCCCTGATTTTAAAAAAGTTGACTTTAATTTTGTAAACACCGTGAGGCTGAAATGAAGTGCTGGATTGGGCCCGAGGGACGTGGGGGTGCGTCCCCTGCCCGAGGGGAGAAAGAAGAGAGAGGAGAGGGAGAAATGAGACGAGGAAGCTGCAGTGGAAAGGCTGCTAAGGAACTGCCATTCATGCCACAAGCGCTTATTGAGGACCTACTATGTGCCAGGCTCTGTGCTGGTGCCAGGGGAAGAGATTTGAATAAGACGTGGATCCCTGCTCCAGGAAGAGCTCGCAATTTTATCCTCATTTGGTCTGAATTTACTTTTTTGTTTTGTTTTTTGAGACAGGACCTCGCTCTGCTGCCAGGGCTAAGGTGCAGTGGTGAGATCATAGCTCACTGCAGCCTCAAACTCCTGAGCTCAAGCGATCCTCCTGCCTCAGCCTCCAGAGTAGCTGGGACTACAGGAGTGCACCACTACTACGCCTGGCTAATTTTTTAGTTTTTTGTAGAGACAGGGGTCTTTTTTTTTAAATTTTTTTGAGACAGAGTCTCGCTTTGTTGCCCAGGCTAGAGCGAGTGCCGTGGCGTCAGCCTAGCTCACAGCAACCTCAAACTCCTGGGCTCAAGCAATCCTCCTGCCTCAGCCTCCCGAGTAGCTGGGACTATAGGCATGCGCCACCATGCCCAGCTAATTTTTTTCTATATATTAGTTGGCCAATTAATTTCTTTCTATTTATAGTAGAGATGGGGTCTCGCTCTTGCTCAGGCTGGTTTTGAACTCTTGACCTCTAGCAATCTGCCCACCTCAGCCTCCCAGAGTGCTAGGATTACAGGCATGAGCCACCACACCCGTCGAGACAGGGGTCTTGATACTTTGTCCAGACTGGTCTCGAACCCCTGGCCTCAAGCGATACTCCCGCCTTGGCTCCCCAAAGTACTAGGATTACCAGCGTGAGCCACCACACCCGACCTGGTCTGAATTTTAAAAACCAGTGTGCTGCATCAGGAAGAGAACCACTACAACTCATTAGACCTGCGTCCATCTCCGCTCTGAGCCGGGCTCACTGCCACCTTGGACGCCCGGAAGTCCTGTCCTTCCCAACCTTAAGGAGCAGGGCCGCAGTGGGCGGGGCTTTCCTGCCCACCTGCCTTTTTAGGTGCACACAGTGGCCACGCCCAGCCCGCTGTCCGTGCTCCTAAGAATGGCAGGGCCCTGCCCCACCATGCCCAAACATTGCCGCTTTCTGACATTCCGGGGCTGGCTACTTCCCTCTCTGCACAGGGCCTGTGATTCTGGAAGCTTCCACCAGGGGACGGCATTGCTGGTGTCACAGGACTCCGGGCCGAGCTGCTGAGAAAAGCAGGAACTGCTCCTGGCCTAGGCGCCCGCTTTGTCTCACCGACCTGCCTTCACTGGCCTCAGTGTGGGGACGGCGCCCCCCCCCCGCCCCACCACCCCGAACAGAGCCACACGACGGTGGGCAACACACCAGCCACAGAAGAAGGGGCTCCGCTGCCCCGGCCTCCCCTCCGGCCCCTTCCCCCATCGGAGAACCTCATCGAATGGACTGATTCATTCCTGGTGACTTCTGCAGCTGCCGCTTCCGTGGCTGCACCTTGAACTTGCATTAAGTTTTAATTAAAGCCGTTTCACCAGCCTTGCCCTTGGCTAAATGCAGCTGTGGGCACAGGGCACATAGATATTTAATACTCTGTCTCTCCCCGCTGATGGCGCAGGGTGCCCAAGGGTGTACCCGAGCCGTGCCCTGCTCACAGCGATCCGAGCTCGCTTAAGTGTGCCCACAGGCCCTGAGCGGGAGGCCGTGCAATAACTATTCATTGCCCTGGGTTAAGTGTGCCCAGGGGCGCCCGTAAACTCCACGCGGTGATTAGCGATCGCTCCCACCAAAGGCTGCCCAGGCTCTTGCTGAGTGTCCGCGGGCCCTAAATATAGCCTCCTCCTGGCGACTTAAAGGGCACGGTGCGTTTAGGCTGCTCCTGGTCACACCTTCCCTTCCTTCTTTTAGCAGAATTGCTCTCCTCCTTCTGAGAGTCCAGCCTCCGGGGGCTTCGCTGCTTCCCAGGGGTCGCGGGAGGGCCTGGGGCGTGGCAGCCAGGGGCAGCTTTGGCGTTGGGTGGGGAAGCCGCCAATGCTCTACCTTCTCACCAAAGCGTGAAGCGCAGGCCTCTTCCCCATTTCTTCCGCTTCATGCCCCAAGTGAAGGCAGCACCTCCAAAGAAGGGAAATAGGGGGGCTCACTCCAGGGGCTCCCCGTGGGATGTCCTCAGCCTGCTGCCAGGTGTGGGTGGGTCTCTGGGCAGGCGGGGGGCAGCAGAGCTGGGGAATGGGAAGGCTGGGGGGCTGGGGGCCTCCTCCCAGGCCACCCTCTCCTTTCTGCTCCAGGAAGCCCCTCCCTGTCCCTGCCTTGGGTGGGGGAGTTGTCAGCCACCTCTGGCCTTAGTCTCCCCACCTTGCCGGGGTGGAGAGACGCTCTGCTGGGCTGTGTGACTCTGTGTGGCAGCAAAAGCAGAGGGGAGTTGCGCTCCACAGAACAGCCGGGTAGAGAGGGGCTCCAGGGAAGGTCCTCTGCCCGCACCGTCACCAGGGCCGCCTGTGAAATGGGAGAATGGCGCCACCCTACGGGGTGGCAGTGAGGCTCAGTGCAGCAGGAGAACAGCGGTCCTGGTTTTCAGGGAACTGATTTAGCATTGAAAGCCCCACATTGGGGAACGTCCTCACTCCTGGGGAAGCTGGGATGTCAGGTCACCCTGAGTACCCTGCGTGCACAGTGCACTCTCTTGACCCTTGCTCATTAGATCCGAAATAGAAAGAAAAAGTTCCAGGGAGAATGGGTGAACCAGGCAGAAAAACCCGCCCGGGAGGCCGGGGAACCGGCGGAAAGTGCATGTCGGAGCCCTGCACGCTCCCTCCTGGCCTCGCCAGCTGTGCCCGGGACCCCAGCTGCCCCCTTGGCTGGGCCCAGGGCAGCAGCTGAGACAGCGACATTTCCCTGGGTCTGTTGACACTCGAGTCCCAGAACATAAATGATTTTCTTGTCTTAATGAGCAAACAACCCGGCACTGCTCTCTCGCCGGCCTCCTGCTGGGGTAATTGCGGGCGCTTATGTGCTCAGCCAGGGATGTTTGCTCACTCACCTTGCTCACGGCTTGCTGGGAGACGCCGCCGCTTCCTCTTTGTTCCGCAGGTCTCCCGGCCCCTGCCCCTGCGGAGCGCCAGTGGACAGGTATGCAGGGCAGGAGAAACTCGGGAAGGTTCTGCCAAGCCCAGCGGGTGCTCGGGTCGCTCTGAGGCAGGAGGTTCTGAGAGTCTGTCCTCCTGTGGAGAGTGCCAGCTGACAGCACCGGGCTCTGGCAGCCACAGCTGGAAGCTTCCCCTGGCAGAGGCCTGAGGCCATCTGAGAGGACCCCTGAAGAGGGGACCCCGACTTTGGGTGGGAGGCTTGGCTGGAAGCCTCTGAGGTCCTTCCCACACTAAGATTCTCTCTGCAAAGTCTGCAGGGACGGGGACCTTTGTAAGGCCACCTGTTCCCAGATCGCTCAGCTGTTTCCCTGAACTTTCCTCCTGCTGGTTCTAGTAGGGTTTCCCTTTCCCATTCCACACCCCTTTGGATATCTGGGGTCAGTGAGTGTGCCCTTCCTCCAGCCCTCTTAGGATGGGGGCTGGGAACCCCGCCCCCACGGTCAGGCCCCCACCTTTATTCAAGGTCCAATTGCCAATGTCCCACTACAGACGGCACCTCCACCTCGGCTCTAGCAGGGCCCTGCCTGGGTATCATATGGCCGGACCGGTGGCATCGCTGTTAGGGTAACGGTGCATTCATTCCTTTAGCCATGCTGTGCACCTACTATGTGCCAAGCAGCCCTGCAAGGTGCCTGCTCCTCCACAGTACAAGGGTGCCAGTGTCTGGTTTGCCTTCTTCCCTGAGTGGCCTGCTGTCCTACCTCCTGGTCCAGCCCATCCTCCCCATGGCCCTGTCACCTTCCTGAGTGTCCCCTCAAGGGCCCCTTCTCCGTGATGCCTAGTGACCACATCTTCCTGGCCGGAGGGTTTACAAATGTGTCCTGTTTCTCAGACTCCGTGGCTGCTATCCCTTCGAGGGGAGCTGGTGGCTTCTCTGGAAGATGCCAGCCTGATGGGATTGTATGTGGACATCAATGCCACCACTGTCACGGTCCAAAGCCCAAGGCAAAACCTTCTTCAGAGGCAGGAGGTCAGTGGGCCTCCCTGGTGGGCAGCAGCCCTGCCAGGCTGGGGGGCCTTGGAGACACGGTGCCCGGAGGAGCCGTTTGCCACCCCACCGGCGCTGACTCAAATGTCCACCTGCCAGACTGGACAGATTTAGGCAGGCGGCTTCGAAAATTGGGCCCCATTAGCGCAGAGTGCTCCGCTCGGCAGATGAGGGCTCCCGCAATCATGCATTCCGCGTCCTGATCATGGTGGCAGGAGCGTAATTACCATCTCTTTAAATAGCCCAAAGTTGCCGTGTAAGAGAAGACGGCTCACATGACATTTGCTCCCAGCTCGCTTCCTGCTAAAAATATCCCAGCTAAATAATATTTCCTGGTTGCATCGGAGCAATGGTCCCCGACCTGGGCTTGGTAACACGAGGGGGTTTGGTCCAGAGACTCGTGCAAAGGCGGGAGGGGTCCCTGGTGGGGGGTAGTGGGCATCTGGAAGGGGCAGTTTTAGTGGCCACAGGGGGACCCTCCTCCCTCGCCAGGTGCTGAACACCTCCGCCGAGCTCCTGCCACTCTGGCTGGTGAGTGGCCGCCATGCCTACTCCTTGCAAGCTGCCTGCCCACCGGGTAAGACCCAGGAGCGCCCCAAGGTCCACCCTCCCCACTTCATCTCTCTCTGGTCCCCTCTGTTTTTCTCCCTCCTCTGGGCGCCTTCGTCCCCTCTGTCCCACCCCACCTCTCCTCTCCTTAGTCTCAACCTTGCCATGCATTTCTGAAATGCTTGGGACAAAGAAGTTTGCTCTTGCTGGGAAGTGTGTGTGTGTGTGTGCACGCGCACACGTGCAGAGTAGGGGTGGGTTGTGGAGTGTAAGTGAACAGTAAAATCACCTGCCAAAGGCCCGCAAACCTGGGCTCTGAGGACTCCTGGGAAGTCCCAAGGTGGCTCCAGGGAGTCCGAGAACAAAGACTGGAGAAGGTCCGCAGGCCCGTCCGTCAGACCTGCGGCGCTCTGTGATCTGAGGCAGTGGGGCCCCTGGATCTAGACTATGTATGTCACAACTATTTTGTTCAGCCTGGGGTGACACCACTACTATGTGCCTTATGGAAGACCACTTCCTACCTCCAGAGAATTTAAATTCTAAAGAACGTGGTATGCAAAGTTAGGCGGATCAAAGCCTTCATCCTGTGTGGGTAGATCAGAGATGACTTAGAATTTACATGTGTGTAGAATTTTATCGTGGACTGAGTCTGAGGATCAGGGCTCTGGGGAGTTTCGGGGATTGGGAATGACCTTGCCAAGGTCCCCAAAATCTCTTCCCCTGTTCATGGGGTTTGAAAATCCCTTTACATGGAGACAGATGCTTTCATTTAGCAACTGCAGAGTTGGCTTAAAATGTCCCCGTGAGAGGGCTGACACAGTGACATTCTTGCTAAAGTGTAAACAACTGATATGAGCTGTATTTTTTAAGAGCAGCTTTGGTAATGGAAGGGACAGCAGGATAGGTCACCGATACTGGAGACAGTCTTGGCAGAGACGTTTCTGCAGCTTCCCTGCTGGCACCTGCTTCCTTGTGGGCCTTTGCAAATGGCAGGGCCCCGGCTGAGGCCCCCCACCACCACCACCACGCTCATCCATGTGCCTGCGAAGTGCGCCTTTTACTGTGTCACGTGTCCTTCCCCATCCAGTGTCATCCCGGCCAGAGTCGGAGGTCTTAGTTCACATCCCCAAGCAGAGACTGGGTCTGGTCAAAAGAGGCTCCCACATCAAGGAAACCCTGAGCCTACAATTCCTCCAAGTCCTCGAGTCCAACACCTTTACAGTGACCGAAAACAGGGATTTCGTGAGGGTCAGCATCCCGGCGGCTGAAGTGCTCCAGGTCCAGGTGGGTGACCTGGTGGCATCTCTGTCCTGCCCTTTCCTGAGGCCCCTTCTTCATATGGAGAGCAGATCTGTGGGGCTGGCTGGAAATGGACTTCGGCACTTACGGGCCTGTGGCCCAGCACTCTTGTCAAGGTGGCCCCTGGGAGGACAGCCACAGGGCACGGGATGTATCCTGCCACATGCAACTCATTCCTTGTTGACCCACAGCGATGCCAGGAGGGTCAAGGAGCCCCGGGGACACAAGCTTTCTATAGAGTAGACCTGAGCCTGGAATTTGTTGAGATGGCCACGCCAGTCCTCTGGACAGTGGAGAGCTTCTTCCAGTGTGTGGGTAAGTGGGGCACCATGAGGGAGTGCCTGCTGGTAACAGGCACGTGCCACACGAACCCGCCTTCCCTGGCCCTGTGGTCTTTTCTTCTGTGACAGTGTTTTGTTCCCTGGGCCCAATAGGTCCCACACCCAACCGGGTGAGTCATGGTGTCAGACACATCAGCTGGAACTGGCATGAAAACAGGAGTGTCATAGGAGCTAAATGGTGATGTGGTCCCTGGCTCTGAAGTCAACGGGCCAGAAAGGTGGTGCTGGGGGTGGTGGTGAGGGGGGGTGCCTCAACTTCCCAGCCAGCTGCAGAGCCTCAGCTTTTTCACCTGGAAAATGGGAATGCCAGTACCTGTTGAGAAGACTGGCCGAGATGATGGGAGTTAGGAGCTCAAAGGAGCGATTTCCATTTCCATCCGTCCAGCTCCTTCCGTGTGGGCTCCAGTTTCCCGGGTCACTTAATAGAATCGGTTGGCCAAGAGCATCACACGACTTATTTCTCACCCCACGAGGAAGCTTCTAAATGTGGCGTGTGTCCTCCGTGCCAGGACGCTGGACTTGCGCCTTGAAAGGGGTTTTTGGTGAAAGCGCAGCTACCAGGCAACTTGGTATTCACACATGCAAAACCACCAGGAGCAAAACCCATTGGAAAACAGCGTAAGGAAATACACATAATTCGCAAATGATGTCGATCACTTTCATCTCCTACTTCCTAACTGTCCTCAATAGAAGACAGACGCGAGGGAGATTTAACTCAGATGTTAATAGCGCAGGAATGCCCCGTTACCAGGATATGATGTTTCGGTGCGGCATAAAAATGTAATTATATTCAGAACTATATTTAAAGATTAAAAGGGGGACTGCCTACCACATCTAGCCCCCAAATCCGAATTAGAAACAAAGAAAGAAAGCAGGATGGGGGACGAGTTCTAACAGTCTGCTAAAAATGGAAATGTTTCTTGAAAGTTTTTACACATTTCGGCTGTTTTTATTTTAATAGCTTCCTGCAGTGATGACATTGATTTTGGAAAGGGAGGGCTAGAACTTTGTCCAACAAACACTCACTAACCACTTGCCATGAGAGGCCCCACGCAAGGCTCGGGCAAGAAGAGAAGGCGCTAGATTCGGTTCCTGCTCCCGAGCGGTGTCCAGTCTGGGAGGGGACATAAGAAAAGTCCGGGGGTTTGGGGAGGTTATGCCAGGGAGCAGATGTCCTCACAGGGCAGGCCAAAGAGCAGCTGATCTTTGTCCTGGGCTTTGAAGGGAGGGTAGGTCCCCAATAGGACGGTAGTGAATAAAATACAAAAATAGCTCAGCACCAGCGATAAAAACATTTTAGGAAGTTGTTTTTTTTTTTTTTTTGTCTCTCTGGAAAGATTTACACGGGGAAAGAATGTTCTCTTCTTCGTTTTATTAATTTTATATCAGCAGCCAGAATGAATCTCTCCCCTCTCTGGTTCCCAGAGCACCTTCCCTCCCTCTCCCCTGAAGCTTCTAGGTCTTTCTATTCTTGTTACAGTTATTGGTGCAAGCTCCCGTCTCTCCCTCTAGTCTGAATTCCTGGAGCTCAGGGCTGTGCCTGGTTAGGCTTTTCCTTCTCCGCAGCCCTTATCGGGCCACCTTGCCCTTGGTGAGGTCTTCACTCATGCTTGCTGGGCTGCATTTTTGCTAGGAATTTTTATAGAAGGTTCTGGACAGAGAACATTTTTCCTTTGTGACTATGTGACTCGTGGGTGGGTCTATTAATGTGCTGGGATTGCCTAAACTCTCTGTGGGTACAGATTGTTTTTTTTTTTTTCACTCTTTCTCCTGCCTCCCCCCTAAAAAGTGGTTGGAACCTCTAGGACCAATCCTAATTATCTGAGATCAGAGCTGTGAAGAACAGCGGGGAATGGAGCGTCCAGCCCGGAGAACAGAAACCAAGGGGCATCCAGCTGATGCCACATTTTAAAGCAGGAGTCACGATGGAAACGCCTTCTGCGTCAGGCAGGGGATGTCAGTGCGGAGGCTGAGAACACCCGGGTCCCCGGGGACGGGATGGCAAGGCAGCCAAACTCAGTGTGGGGGATGGCAGGGAGTTGAGGTCCCCACCCCCCACCCCGAGAAGCAGCAGCCACCAGACCGCTCTAACTAGAACAGCCTCACTTAGCCAGGAGCTGATCCTGCCTTAACATTAATTTAAACAATGGTAACCCCCACTCCACCCCCCACAGGCCAAGTCAAACGTGTCTAAGGGCTGCATTTGCCCCGTGGACCAGAATTTGCAAGCTCTGACCCAGCGCTTCACGACTGAGGGTGATTTCTGCTTCTCGGGGGACACTTAGCAATGTCTGGAGACAGAGTGGGGCATCATGACTCGGGCGATGCTACCGGCGTCTGGCGGGTCAAGGCCAGGCATGCCGCTGAAACATCGTGGGATGCACCTCTCCTCCCACACGCAAGGGCGAGCGATCGGCCCAGAAGGTCCACGCCGAGCGGGCTGGGTCCAGCCTGCGGGTGGTCAGGCGGGAAGCACCCTCCGTTCTGTGCGGGTCCCGGGCTGGGCCAGCAGATTTGACCTCAGAGTAGTGAATGGCTCAAAGATGAAACTGGCTGGTGGCAGGCAGTCGGGGCCAGGTGCTCTTTGCAGAAGAATCTGAATTTCTGTGATTTAATTTTAAAAGTGTATCTTGATGTCCACATGGCTCCAAAAATGACTCCAGGTCGGAGGTCTGTGAAATTCAGCCGATGAAGACAATTCCTACCCCAGTGTGGGGATTTGACCTCCCTCTGTTTTTGTCCCCCCTACCTGGAGAGAAGGGGACACTCATGGTCTCTGCAGCAGGGTGTCAGGAGGAAGGCTGACCTCCGTATGCTTCCTTTCTAGAAGGTTCAGGAACAGAGTTGCCTGCCTCAACTGCCACACCGAGGACTACTCTCTCCTCCTGGCCCCCGGGACCAAAGACCCCTCCAGCAGAAATGCCACCAGTGGGCTCTCCCCAGACCCCGGCTGCAGGACCAGCTGCCCAGGAGGGGCTTTCTCCGGGCCTTGGGCACCGGCCTTCCAACGGGCTGGCCGAGGCAAGTGCTCGGCTGTGTCCTTTGCCCATGGTTTCCTACAAAGGGTTGGGTGCCCTCGAGGCATGGTGGACCCAGCTAGGCACAAGGCCCCTCTTCCACCACCCTTCTTCCAAAGAAAGCTCCACTCAGACCCCGCCGTGTCGCCAACTCAACTTCAGAGCGTTCCCCAGAGAGAGCTGGGCCCCGAGAACTCCCACGGGGGAGGGCAGCCCCCCTCACCGGCCCTGCCTGGACCACGACCACCCTCCCAGTGCCCTGAGACAGGGCAGAAGCAGGCGGGCGCTGCACCCTGGTGGGGGACCCAGAGCCAGGCCCAGAGAACCAGCCTGAGGCCGCAGCTCCCACTGCGGGCCCCTTCCCTGGGCCCAGATCTGCAGGGCTGCAAGAGCCCTGCGCTGCGGTTTCTGATGCTTTTTCTCCCTCTACCCACCGCACTCTTGCTGAAGGAGGAGCCCGGACCGTCCCTGCAAACAGCCCAGCCCGTGGGAGGAGGCTGGACGTCCGCCGCCTCCCTTGTACCCACAGCAACTCGGGATCAGAGCGGCCCCCAGGCCCCCGGGGAAGCGGGGTTACCTGGACACCCGCCACCTTCAGCCCTGCTCCCCTTGGAGCCCACGGGAGGTGTCCAGGCTGGCCCCAGGCCCCCACGTCCGGGCTTCCCAGGCCCCCCTGCCCCGACCGCGCCTTTGTCCTCAGAGGTCTCCTCTCCTCGCCGGCCTCCCCGAAGGTCTGAACGCTCCACAGTGGGCCCGGTCTCGGAACCGTCTGTTACCCCAGGAGGTCTAGAAACTGCAAGGCCTGAGCAGGACCCCTCGCAGCCACCGGGAAGTCCCCTCCTGCCACGAGGGCCATCAGGGGGTGATGTGGCTGCCACTGAGCCTGTCCAGGGGGAGGCTGAGCAGGCCCAAGAGGAGGTCCAGCCCATGCCGAGGCCCTTGAGGGCCATCCTGGCCGAGGGGGCGCTGGCGTCCCACCGTCACCCCAGAGGGCCCCAGGGAACCCCGTTTGTCATAGAGGAGGACGGGCCACCCCGCAGAGGGCCTGGTCTCCCTGGGGAGGGGCCCAGAGGGCACCTGAATCTGTTGTCCTCAGAATCAGGTCAGGGCACAGCGGGGCCGGGACTCGCCGTCCTGCTGGGGAGAGAAGCCACGTTCGCTGCCCCCAGTATGAGGCAGCCAGACCCCAGTGCCCGTGGGGGGCCCTCGGGACCGGAGCCCCCTGGGTGGCGCAGGGCGGAGCCAGCAGGGCCCCTGGCAGCTCTCACTGCGGAGCGGCCGCCGGCAGAACCCAGTCACCCCACATCTCTTCTGAAGCCTGGAGCCCCATCTGGGGGAGGGCCGGACCGAGCCCAAAGCCTGGAGCCAGCCCCCGGCTCGCTGGGGGGCCGGCATGAGCAGGGGGCTGCACACTCTCCCGGCCCTCTGTCTACGTGGACACCGACCCCGGGGGCTCCCACAGAAACGCCATCGTCCAGCCTGGCCGAGCCTGGACACCCTTTCCCCGCTGGCCAGGGGGCCTCACCCCGGCAGGGGCCGACAGGGCCCACATTGGCCCCCAGCCCCGAAAGTCACCAGCCTCCGGAGCTCCAGAACGGCGTGGAGGGGCTCTCTGAGAGGCCCCCATGCTGGGCCTCCACGGAGACTCGGGGGGTGAGTCCTGGGGACGCTGGGCGAGGACAGGGTGCACAGGCACGGGGTGGGCGCGCCCCCTGCCCGTCTCGGCCTCTCAGCGGGCGGGGACCCAGCCAGCGTCCCTCGGTCACCTAGCTGCGTTTTGTGCTCAGTCTTGCTGCCAAAGGTGGCGAGGCATTGGGGGAAGCGCGTGGGCTCTGCAGCCAGACCCACCAGGCCCGGGGTTCGCGTTCTAGTTCTTCTGCTCTGGCTGTATGACCTTGGCAAGGCCCCAACCTCTCTGAGCGTCAGGTTCCTGGTCAGTCAAACAGGGATGGTGACAGTCCCTCCCCGACGGGGCTGCCGAGGCTCGAGGAAACGGACATAAAGCCTTTAGTGCAGAGCCCGGCGCCCGGCGTGCGCTCAGAGCCTGGCCTCGGGGCACTGTCCCCGCACTTCAGAGCGGCCCAACTGTCCGCTCCAGGCCCCAGCAAAGGGGACGTTTGCTTGTCCCGGGAGAGCGTGGAAGGCCTTTAGCCACAGTTCAGACACCTCTGGGGACAGGTGGTGATGGGGAGACCATCCAGGGAGGTGACCCTGTCCTCCGGGCCTCAGGAGGCCGCGACCCCCGGTCTCTAAAGGACCCAAGGGGAGGAGAGTGGGGAGCTCTTGCTTTGTGTTCATCACTCACCACGCCCTTCCTCTGGTTTCCATGGCAGCAGCTGGTACCCTGCTGGCTCGGGCGGCCCCAGTGACCCCGGGTGACCCAGTGTCCTCAGGCTCCTTGGTCCAGAGGCCCGGCTGTAGCTGGGCACAGTGGTCTGGGCCGGAACAGCACTCAGTGCTTCCCTGGAAAGGTGGGGCGCCCCCCCAACCCCCTCCAGGCCGACCCACCACCGGAAGTGGGGTTTGAACCGCAGCCAAGGGGAGGAGGCCCCGGCAACGCCCGGAACAAGAAGTAAATAAATAAATAAATAATCAGGGATGTCTTGGCTGATAAACGGTCCCTACCTCCAAGATGCCTTCTCCCCCGCCCACCCCCTCCTCCGGGCAGATCCATCCCAGGCAGGAGCTTAATAGCCCATTTAAGGCTCTTCCTTTTCACCACGGAATTGAGCGGCTCCCGCCATTACGAGGTTTTCAGCTTCTCTCTGAAATCAAATTACTGACTCCATTTAATTTTTTAAAAGCTCGGATGATTTCCCTTCTTGAATCGGAGCCGTGACTCCAAGGCCAGCCACCCCCCTTCTCTGGCCCTGCCAGGCGCTTCCCCTGCGGGCAGCCGCTGCCCAGGGACGGCGGCCCCACGCCTGGGCAAGCCTGACACCTAGAGGGGAAGCGGCGGGAGCCCGAGCCTCTGGCCACTGCCTTGGACGCCGGGCAGCCGCCTAGGCCTGCGGCAGCTCACAAAACCAAGGCCGGGGCTAGAAGAGCTTCAGGGCTGGGAGGTCAGTGGTTAGAGCCCAGCGGAGATATAGACTCTCGGGGGAGCTTCCCCGGGTCCCCAGTTGCCTTCCCACAGTGCGTAGGCAGGACCCCATCACTGACGGGTGTCTACGGAGCGCCTCCTCTGTGCCAGGCGCTGTTCCAGCTCGGGGAGGCGGCGATGAGTTGGACGGAGAGAGTCCGGGTGTGGGAGCGGAAGCTGCAGTGTGCGTGGGAGAGGGGACGGAGACCCATCGTGAACGCACGCAGACGGTCCCAGACCATGCCGTGTGCCCTGAAGAGAACCGAAAAGCAACTCGGGTGGGGGTGGGCTGCGGGCAGGTCAGGCAGCCCCTCTGCGGAGGCGAGGAGGCCCCCCTGCAAGGAGCTGGCGAGGGCTCCAGGCAGAGGAGGGGACGGAGGGACAGAGAGGCCGTCGGTGCTGCTGGGGCAGGCGGGAGGGTGCGTGGGGCGTGAAGGACCCACCCGTCAGGAGCCCACGTTTCGTTCCGGCCCCCGTGGGGCCTTTGGGCATAGGAGAGGCCATGAGCTGATGCTTGGCAAAGCTGACTGCAGACTGACATCCGAGGCACAAAGCGGCAGCCCCACTGCAAGTCCACTCCCGCGTCCAGAGGACTCGGGGGAGGTGGCTGCCCGGTGGTGATGCATCTTTTATCTCAACACTGGCCACAGCGTTTCTACTCTCTCTGTCTCTTCCTCTCCACCTCCACCCACCCTTCCCCTCTCGGCCCCTGCAGAGCCACCTGGCTTGGGGACATCATAGACCACGGGCGCACACACGTGAGAAAGCCCTGTAAACCAGGCTGACCCTTTACCAGTCCTGCCCGTGTTTAAACACCCTGCGCCCTTGGAGACGAGACACAGGGAACGGAGTTAATGAAATCACCAGGCTTCACCTGGCATAAGTGGCTCTTCGCCCCCAGGCGGGCGGCGATTTGCAAGGCTGGGAGGGTCTGGGCATTAACTGTTCTGGGCACTTTTCCCAGCTCAGCGCTCTGTGCAGCTGGAGCAAACCACTTTACTTCTCGTCTCCCCCTTGCCTTGCTCTGCACCCACTCGCAAGCAGGACAGTCGTGTTTAATTAGAAAGTGCTCAGGCTTCTCAGGAGGGCTCCTGTTCTCCCCCAAGATGGGACAGCCGTGGCTCTGTGACCAGGGCTCCGGGTCTTCCAGGGCCCGGCTGGCACCCGTGCCTGATCCTGGGGCATGCACGGGTGTTGTCCCTGCCTTGGGGACGTCTAGTTTGCCTGTTGAGACCTCCCAGGTCTTGCAGTCATTTGTTCATGGCTGACACGCCTGTGACCAGCGAAACCCTGGCAGGGAGTGGCTCTTTCCCTCGGGCTCAGCGGCTGGTTCACAGATCTCAGACCGCCTGGGCTATTGGCGGCGTGTAGCCATCGCTGGGCACTTCCCCGCCGTCAGCGGCGTGGATCCCCATCTTTCCTTCCCTGTGGCTCTGTGCGAAGTCCAGGGGCTGCGGCGCATTTGTCATACTTGCTCTCCTGTTTCACGGAGCAGCCGGAGCTGGTCCAGTGTCCCTTTTGGGTTTTCCTCCTCGAGCACAGAGCCTTCCTGCCCTGCCACCCCCAGGCTCATTGTTTTCCCCGTGTTGAAGGCCCTGAATTTGCAGATTTCAGATGCTTCCCACAGCAGACTTGACATCACATCACATCCTTTCCGCCTGCACTGCAAGTCTCTGCTGGGCATTTGAATATTACTTAAACTGGAGTTGTAGCTATCAACTTAGGAATCCTCCAAATTACCGCGTGACCAGAGCGGCAGCGTGGCTGGGAAGAGCTTTCTTCCGGGGATCAGGAGACAGGTCTGTCCCCACCCAGGCCGTGTGACCTTGAGCGAGTCAGGTCACTTTCCGAGCCTGGGCTCCAGCTGGGGCTGTTTGGAAACTGGAGCGAGTGGCCGGTGACCTCTGGTCCAGGGTAAGGCGGGGTCAGCCCGTGACAATGCTACATTAAGAGTCCCCCACGCAGCGGGGGGAGAACCCCTCACTCCTGAGGGTCCACCGTCCCCAGCTCAGCCCAGCCCCCGCCCACCGCCGGCCGCCTCTGCTGCTCACAGGTCTGCTCTCTGGGGCCGGGGGCTGCCAGAGACGTCAGGCCAAGCCGGGTAGGAGGACAAGGTGGGACGATATGTCCGGAAGCTCCTTCCCTTGTAGCCAGCCAGAGCCCATGCCTACCTTGCTCCACAGGTGACCTCCTACCTGCTCCTCGTTCCTCTCCCGGGAACCAGGCTGAGCCGTCTGACATCCCAGAACTCAAAGCCCTCAGAACTGTGGTTCTCAAAGAGGGGTCCCCCGGACCAGCAGTGGCAGCATCCCCTGGGAACTTGGTAGAAATGCAAATCACTGGGCCCCACCCCAGACCTTCAGACCCAGAAACTCAGGGGTGGGGCCCGGCAATCTGTTTTAAGCCCCCCAGGGGATCCTGAGGCACCTGGAGGGTGTGAGAACCACTGCCTGAGGCATTCTGTGTGGGGGCAGGGGAGACCCATAAGTCAGAGAATGTCCCATAATAATATCAGTGCTCGACATCACACAGCTTCCAGGCACCTGCCACCTCCATCCGCTCAGTGCACCTAGCACCGTCCCTATGAGGAAGAAAGGAATTATTCTTCTTATTTTACACATGAGGAAACTGAGGCTCAGGGTCTTGCCTGAGCTCACACAACTAGGAGAGGGCGGCAGCATTGCTCAAGCCCTGGCCTCCTGCTTCCAAGGCGTGGGCTCTCTCCTGGATGGCTTGGGTTTCTGGGGCTCCTTAGACCAAGGGACTAAATGCACGTCCCTCGGCCAGAAAGGAACCCCCCCCCCCATTCCGTCCCTCTCTCCCGTTCCCAGTCGCAATCCTACGAGACAGCATCCAGGAAACATAAATTTTGCCTGGCAGTTGAGTAAGCGCTCTGAAAGGAGTTACACGTCAGGGAGATGGGACTTTATTTCTCAATGAAATAGCCTTTTTATGGTTGGAATAAAAGTGCCAGGGGGAGCCTAATGCCAGGAAGTAGCAAGCGCATTTGATAAACTCCAGCCAGGGCGGGGCTGCACGGGAGGCGCCAAGCAGTCCCCGCGTTTCAGGATGCGTGTTTCGTTACAGGTTACAGCTGTGGGAGATCCCGGGATGGGGGCAGGGGGAGGCCTCGTGGGCCACCCAGTTGGAGAAGGAAGGGCAGCCCTGGGACCCGGTGAGTGACTTCGCTCACCGCTACCAGGTCCCGGGAGCAGAGCTGCAGTTCAGAGAGCGGGCAGCAGGGGGCAGCACAACCCACAGTTCCAGCCCGCAAGTGGGCTCCGCCGGGGGTGCAGGTCCCTGCGGCTCAGCCCTCAGAGGAGGTCAGCAGGAGCCCCCTCCCTGGGACCTCCTCCTCCTCCCTTCAGCCCTCTCCACCCCAAACCCTCCGCCGCAAGGACAGTTTGTCACCCTTACACTGGCTGCGGCCTCTTCCCCATCCAAATCATAACGGGGCTGGGGGCAAGGGCGGGGGGGGGGCTCCTGGACCCCCTGCCCGCCCTCTGGCCGGGCTCTCAGAGCTTCCCCGGCTCTGGTTAACCCCTGGGCTTCCTTCCGAGGGGCCTCTTGAGGGGTCTCAGTGCACCCATTATATGAGCGGGTGGCTTTTGTGGGAGGGGGACCAACAGACTTCATGGTCACCGGGGGCAGGGGAGAACGCTGAAGGACAAAGAGAGAAAGCGAGGAAACCTCCTCGTTTGAGAATGTGTGTGATTGGCAGGTTTACGGCCTCGGGAAGGTGCGTGGTATTCCGCACAATCAAGTCATTTTTAAAAATAATCTCCCTGCTTAAGTCGTACACGCTGCTAATTGCATTTTAATAAGTCTCTTAAAATCTTGCCATATTTTTTAATATCCTAATATTAGGTAAGTGATTGCGGGGGACACTGGAGGGCATGGGGAGTTTATATAACCGGGGGAGGGCTGCAATGAAGCTGAGGGGGGTGGTCAGCAAGCGGCCGCGGGCGTGTGTGGAGGGAGGTCTGTCTGCATTTGCGGGGCGCGAACAAGATTTGGGGGGTGTGAGTGTCCAAGACGGGGTCTCCCCCAGCTGCAGCCCCGGACAGCAGACCGGTGCTCAGCCGCAGCACAAGAAATCACCTGTTACCCCTGCCGGTTCCTCTAGCCGTGGGGGAGACAGGCTTCTTCCCCTTCTCATCCGTCCCTGGCCCCAGACTGAAATGTCTGAGCTGGGGGGTCATTGCAACCCATTCATCCTCTCCTGTCTTCCCAAGCCCGTGAGAGGATGTGACTTGCCCAAGCCTTAAAGGGGGACCGGTGGGGACTCAGACCCAGCCTTGTGAGGGCAGAGGAGGAACCACCTGCGTCCTCCTCCTCCTTGAGGCACAGGGTGCTGGCTGCACCTCGGGGTCACCGCGTCCCTGCACCGTGCATTGCTTGCTCAACCTCCCTCCCCACGTTGCCCGGGGAGAAGGTGGCTGGTTGCCAGGGGTGGCTACCTGCCATTCACTGAGCCCTAACTACATGCCGGGCA